TATATATAGCTTTTTAAATTGTATAAAAGCTGTGATTTGTTGCTAGGATACCCCATCATGGCTGTTCTCTCTGTTTCTCTCTCCGTATAGAAAGCCGGCTCAAAGAGAACACTACCAGGTACATCAAGACATTGGAGGACAGATTGCACAGGTAAGAGTGCTTTGTGCCGTCGCTCTCTTTTCAGTACGGAAATGATGAAGTCTCAATAAGGAGTAAAAGAAACAAAAACAGAGAGACATAAAAAGAGCAACATTTCCTCTCACCTTTGTCGTCCTCTAAGCAGAGCAACGTCTCCCAAATACATCGCCTCACCCGCCTCATCATGCACTCGCACCTTTTCCTCATGCCGCTGTCTCCCAGAGCCCTGTTCTCACATTTCTCTCCATCTCTCACCTGCGCAATTTTGCCTTCCTCTTCCTTCACATCCTCACATATTTTCTATACGCTTTATTTTCCACCTCTACATCGGCTCAGTTGCCACATTTACCCTCCTCTGTATAAACCATGTCAGACAAAATAGCTTTTCCTGTCCGTTCTGTCGTCTCCATCTGCGTCTCCGGGGTAAATAACGGAGGACAGGTCTGTTGCGTTGAGGGTGGCTGCCCAGCCCGCCTGACAGTTGCACAACAGGACTGCGATGTGCCGAGTGGCTGACTCTTCCGAGCAGAGGGTGTGGAACCCATACAAGTGCCGACACCATACGCGTGTTTGTGCTTCCTTATGGCGATCAGAGTCGCTTAGCTAGTCTCCATCGACACAGGCAGCACCGAGCAGCTGCAGTGCGATCGGCATCTTCTTCTGCAGCCTTTTGGAACCATTCATGTTTTACAGATGGATGAATAGAGCTGGTAAAGTTTTTGTGTACACCATATGAGCTGTGCTTTCTACTTTCTACTCACTACAGAGGGAGGAAGGTTAGGCCACCGCGGCCTACTCTGTGTCTGCTTGACCCACGTCTTTGTGTGTGGAGTGTGAGAGCTTTTTCGTGTTGCGTCCTCGGAGAGGGAGGGTCAAGTCTTTGGACGGACGTCAGGAGTCACGTCACACACGGCACGGCTGTTTGTTGTGGAGGGATGCGGCTCTGCGTGGTCAAGGAGCAACATGGCTCTGATCTCAGTGCCCAGCGGGGGAGCAAGGCTGGGGAACTTTTCTGTCAATAGGGCAGATGGCCGCTTTGTGTTTTTTTTAGAGTGGTTTGAGAGTACCTGTCTGTGTTATGTATCTCGTGTGAAAAAAACAAGCTGGCAATACTAGCTGGCTTACTGGAATAGGAATGTGACGGGGTACTTTACCAAATATGCAGCCTATATATACAGTATACACTGTATACACACACCAAGACATAGCAGGCCTCCAACATAGAAACTGCACAAAAGTTATCACCTGGATCCTACAATTCCCATAATGCAACTCAATAGCGCATTTTTAATAGACCCATACATAGTAAATGTCCTTCAAACACCTTTTAATAACTATAAAAATATCTATTTCATTGAAAACTATTTTATAATAAAAGCTCCATTTATTCTCCCTTGAGGTGAACTTTTGAGATTTTGAATCCAGAAAGCCTCTTTCAGTTTAATTTCAGTCAAAACAATAATACATAATTGAATGCTTGGCCTCCAGAAAAGTCTGGCTACCGAGTGCTTTATATCTGCCCTTTTAATAGAGCTCTTATACTCTGTGATCCTATACAGCTCACATGCATCTAATCACATCGCTATTGAAATAAATAAAAAAAAAAAATCACATTAGAGGACACCTTCTTGGGTATTGGGAACCGTAAACTCATTTTCCTGCTCATCACGTTCTATATTAATTTATTGGCCCACCAGCTTTGGATCGGCTTCCATAACCAGAGGCGGTCCAGATCAAATCACAAGGGCAGCTTTGCCTTCAGGCGAGGACCAGTAGCTTGCTCCTGCTCCGGTTTGGCACAATGACACATATTCGGCTTGATTGAACGGGCAATTGTCCCCACATGAGCATATACACACACACACACACACACACACTTAGATACACACATGCAGGCTTCCTCCACTGTAAATTTCATCAGTCAGCTCTAATGTACATTACTGTTGATGGAGTGCGGTGGTGATGGGAGGTGAGGGGAGGAGGAGGAGGAGGGGAGGAGGAGAGAGGCAGATTAGTACTGGTGAGATGTCTGGTCTCCGTGGATACGGGAGGTGTTGAAAAAACCAATTATCTCTTCCTCGCTAAAGACTCGAACAGGATGTTAGAGCAGCGCAGATGCTGTAAGTGTGTCACCAGAACAAAAAAACATTTTTTATTCAGATTAGCAGCAGTGCACAGTTGTTTAATACATTATGTAGATGTTTCATTAGGAAATGCCTCTCGAATATTTCCCACATTAATGCATTCTTCTGTTAAGATTTGGATGTCATTCATCATGTTTAATGGCTACAATGCAACTGGTGTAGAAGTCATTAAAATACTAAGACAAGACATGTTCTCTTAGTTAAAAGAGAGGACTTGCCGAGAGTCTAAGCAGGGAGTGGAAGAAAAAAACACTATTACTTTTAATGTACACAATGGTGAACGTATGAACAAATGTAAAGTGTTTGTAACAAAGGGGCCATGGTTGTCTCCCCAGACATCAAGCCAGCCACCTTCCAAACCATTCACTTCACCACCACACCTCGTCCCCTTTGCATTTCACCATATTATTAGCACCTCTCCTCAGCTGGTGTTATTTGAGATGTTGCTGCATGATTAAGGTGAAAACATTACCGTCTCCTATTTGCTTTTTCTAATGAGTGAATTCCCACTGCGTTGATGGCTTTTGGGGGGGGGGATCCTAAATATCAGAAGCGCTGACATGAGACTACATTCATTCATTTTGTTTTGTTCAGGAGAATAACTTCTCGGGGAAATGGCTGATAGTTTTGATAGCTGAAAAACTCCAGCTGTGACTGGAGATAGGGCCTGTTTTTCACAGTCATTGGTATTCATGTGTGAGACCCGAGGATGCGGCTGAGCCTATGAACCTGATGCTGCGTGGAGTTCAGAACATTGGCCAGACAGTGTGCGAGCCCGCTTTGTGCATTTTCACTCCGCAGAGGTCTAACTGAACTTGCTGGTCCCAGCTGGACCAGACCGGCCGCTCCTTCCTTCAACAGTTATTTTTATAATCCTTACTGTGCCTGTGTGCACGTAATGCCTGGAGGAGAAAGAGCAGTCCTGTCAGTCAGCAGTCCCACAGGAAGGGGGGGGGGACTGTAGAGGGAGTGTGCCCGTCTGTCTCTCCTTCTTATTACGGGGCCATCAGCGGAGCAGCTCACCCACACCCTGCCACTGTCAGATGGCAGGCCGAGTGGCGGCCACCAATTAACCCCCGGGGCGAAGGAGTTCATAGCGATGGGCACCAGGAGGCCGCCATCACAGGGGTGCTTAGGAGCTGACTTGTTGTCTGCATCCTCAGTGCACAGAACTCTCGTGCCAGTAACTTGTAATGAATTGCGGTCTCCCTTTGACGAGAAGCGCTTCTGATGGATGAGGCCGGCTTTGACATTTTTTTGGAGGAATTGTACAAAAGCTGAATCCACCCACAGAGAATGATTTATGGGTTTTGTGTGCAAGTTAACACGTGTGCCCACCCAGATCCGTGTGTGCGTGTGTCCCTCTCCACTTCAGAAGAGACAAATAACAATGGCACGGCTCACTGGGTGCGTCCCAGCTAAAGCGGCATTCAGAAGCGGCGGCGTTGAGTAGTGAATTGGCGAGGGCAGGGGGGGGGGCTGGGCAGAGCAATTTTTCTATTGTCTGGGTGCCAAATGAAGGTTAGAGAACGTCGGAGAGGCATGCGTTGGCAGGGTACAGAGGTTGGCAGCCTTTTCAGGCAGGAGATGGGCTGGAAAACAAGTGGCATTCAATTTTTTCTTTTCAGGGGGCCTCATCACGGAGAGAGAGATAGTGGAGGGAACAGAGGGTGAGATTAAACAATATTGTCTGGGTGCATTTTGCCTTTGAGTTTGTTTACGTATGATGGCGAATGAGCAATTTCTCACATCTTAGCTGCGCAGCAAGGAGGCACTCTAGTAAAAATGCTGAATATATTAAAGGGCTTGTATGTAAATAAATGTGTGCTTCGGGTATGAAATGTTTGTTGCATCTCTTACTCTATGTATAATACCCACATCTTTGTCCTTTAGTTAGTTTCTTTTACACAAGGTGGATTCCTGGAAACAAGGATGTTATTAAAAACAGAGAAATATTTATGCTCTTTATTGTGGATCTTTGTGCGTTTCTTAAACCATATGAAAAAGGTAGAATTTCTGACACGATCAATGGATTTGGTTCCTAAAATGTCACCTGGGACCACAATTATTTGGGAATGATTTGTTCGCTAAAGGTCACTGAAAGAATAAGGGGAATAAATATAAATATCTTAAAAAGGTCAGAGGTCTCAAATGTGAGCCGGTGGAGGAGTATTTCATGTGGAGGAAAAGCCTAAAAAGACGTGCTTATAATTCAATACCAACACTCTCACATCCTGAGACACACACTATCAGATAGCATGAAGTGCCTGTGGGGTAGCTCTTTATCAGCTAGTCAGTTATCTGCTTCCACACAGTGACCAGCTTAACCTAAATAATGCTACGGTGAACAGAGAACTCCGCCGGTCAGTGACCGTGTCGCTCATTCTCTGAATGATACATTCAGTCAGCTCCTCTGTTTTTGTCTGGGATGTTACAAGGGTCAGGGGCGAGGGAGAGTGAAAACAGGATGATGGATGGGAACTCACCGAGTAGATAAACAAAAAGCAATCTCCTTGTCCTCCTCCTGAACTCCTGCTCGGTGACCCCAGCAGAGATGAACACAACCAGGCTCTGTCTTCTGTCTCTGCTGCAGCTCTTTGAAGAGAAGGGCAGCGCACGAGGGGGCCATTCGCTCTCATTACATTTTGTCAATGGAATTATGAGCTTTGAATGATTCAAACCCCCCCCCCCCCCATTTTTTTGTCAGTGCTCAATTATAGAGATGTTGCCTTTACGACTACTGGGCTCAGTTATCATGCAGCCGTTCTCAGTCGTGACATGCATACTGTACCTCAGTGTATTTTTTTTTTTTTTTTTGTATGTGTACTGACATTAGTGTCATCATGACGTCTGCATTCTTTCACAGCATACTATATGTTTAGCATCTTATTGCCTCATGAATGTCAATGAGTACCGCTCTCCGTTAGCCTAGTTTAGCAAAAAAATGAGCAAATATGCGGATCTAGAGCAGAAGCAGGCGAGAAGCAGCTGCTTTAGTGAAACAAACACACCTATCAACACCTCTAAAAGGTCTCAAATTAACATGTTACATGTGTTGTTTCAGTTGCTGCCTGCTCGGGTCTCCTTTATAGTCGTTGTGCACTCCTGAAAGAGGCGCACGCCACTTCCCACGCAAAAGTTGTGATCAATAAAACGTGACGGGAGAATGCGCACCTGAAACTCTGATCCATGCGGATGCACATTATAGAGACGGGAAATTTGCAACACAGATGGTGAGGTGGTGAATTGAAGCCAGATTGCAGAATGACGCTTCTCACACGTTTTAATAGAAAATAATTTTAAAACGTATCGCACGTTACATTTCGATCCACTTTGTTATAAACATTCAAAGCAGCAGTGCTAATGAGCCACAACTATTCTATAAGCACCTTTCAATAGTAAAAACCAAGTCAAATCTCAAATCATTTGCTCGATATTACATCTGGAGTGCACCGAATATGATGAACTTCACACGGTCGGGTGTAGAAATCCAAGATAACATCAAAAAGTATTAAAGGATTTCCAATAGTTTTCAAAAATCTTCCATTGATCTTTGTGCTAAGCTACGCTAATCGTCTCCCATCTGCAGCATTGCATTGTCTCCTGCAGAATCGTGTTGTGCCATGTTTTCCCCCCTGATGTTTCCTGTTATATCATGTTTTACATCAGTGTATCTTGTATTGCATTGTATGGTGCAACACACTGGTCTGTTCGTCCCTACAGCTGTGGCTGTCCGGGCTTGGAGCGGATCTGGGAAGCCGACCTGGAGGCGTGTCATCTGTTCTTGCGAGGCCCCCAGTTGCGGACCCCCAGCTGCAGCAGAGGAGACAGCGAAGACCGCCCCGCCGCAACAGTTTATCCTCCAGCCCGGCCGTGCACCAAAGAAGAAGAAGATTGCGCCATGCTGACTGCGTTAGGCGGCCGCTGGTGTCCCGAGGCCAACTTGCAGAACTCAGAGTTCACAAAGGTAATGCAGCCATGTCTTGTGTTATCCACAAACATCTGTGCTTTCACACCGCAGTGCGTGACCGACTGATGTGTGCACTGCAAACAGACGTTTAGAGTACCTCGAATACAAAAGAAGCCCTTTTGAGGCTGTCCATCGCTCATGTCTTACACATTTCTGCACATCTTTGCTATTGAAAGGTCAAATGAGAACAGTCTATTTTAAGATCCACTTCTTTTTTTTTTTTTTGTGAAACGTGAACTCGTATGACGTGCGCCTGCTCGGTCAGTCTTACCACCTGACTGGAGAGGACTGTTTTTTGTCTTTTTTAGTTCATGCGTTCAGCTTTTCTCAGAATATAGAAGTCTGTCGGCTTCAGCAAGATGAGCAGCAGTCCATTAGCACCTTTGCTCGAAGGTATTTTCAAACGAGGAAATGTGGGCGTTGGAGAGCCGACCGTTTGGAAATATTTTGGCTTCCTTGAAGAGTTTCTACAGAGTGCAGATTTAGGAGCCTCTTTCTGCCCGATCACGTGCGTTTAGTGGGACTGCATGTGTGTATGTGCGTGCATGTGTGTCTGTGTGTGTGTGTGTGCGCGAGCACTCTGTGCCGGTTTTTCCCACAGTGAGTTGAGGTCCACTGCCTCAGGGCAGAGTCCAACTCATTCTCTCCTCACACTCCTCCGCCCACGCAGTCTGACAGACTCGTCTGAGATGGGAACAAAGCCAACAGAGCCAGCATTAATAAAAAAACAAAAACAGACTCATTTATACCATGTTTGCTGTTTTTAAACAGTAGTAATTTCAAATGTATGGGTTTACTGGTGCTAGTTGGCAGAATTCCCACTTACATATATCAAAACTGGAAGCTGTGGATTTTTATTGTCGTATTTGATTCTTCTACTGTTGAACCCTCTTAACCTTCTCTCACAGTTGCGCTCTGTGCAACCATGAATATAAACTTTGCATTGATGCCCTGCCTGACCGCATTTGACAAACTGCATGGATCTATTTTCTGCTTTCCCTTTGTTTCTCTCTGCTTTTCTTGCTCCTCCCAAAGCCCGGCCCCTCCTAACATTTCTCAGAGAACTAAAAGGTGAGACAGCCCACCCTTTCTCTCTTTTGTCTCCATCCTGTGCACTCTATTTTCTGCATCCTGTTAGCTAGAAACACTTGAGCTCAATGGAGCAGAAATGTCTATCACGTGGCTCCAAAAATACATTTAGTCCGTTTTAGACTTCAGCGTGGATCCTTGAATATTTCAGAACATTAGTGCTGTTCAATGAGTATCACCTTTGCTTTGAATAACTATGACGTGCATGGACAGAGATGCAAAAGCACATCTAATGCTCTTTTCAACATTTAATATGAATGACGACATATTGATGCCCCAACTAACTATCTAACATGTTTAACATTAGAAAAAGCACCTTGAAATCTCTCATCAAAGAGAAACGATGGATAGCAGCACATTAAGTGGACACGTTTTGTCCTTTTCTTTTCTTTCGGGATGCAAACACCACAGAAAACATAAGAACTCTTGATGATACAATAATACTTTAGCCATTTCGTATCTTCCAGCATACTTTACTTTTCTGAATTTTCAAGGACACACATATCGAAAGGCTTCGCATCTGAAGGCAACAGACAATGGAGGAGTGTTTTTATCAGCTGGATGCCGGAAAACCTTTTCAATCCGTAGCTAGAAAACTGCATGTGACAGATTATATGTTGCTCTAAAATGGATGTAATTGAAGAGAGAGAGCAAAGAAAAAGAAAATCCAGTTTGTGTGACTGTAGCGTTCAAACGATCTGATCTCAGATAGTGTATGAAGAGCTGTGTTCACCGGAGAGCATGAAGTTACGTGTTCCATAATTTGTGATTAAAAAAACAATTAAAATGTAGCTGATTAGTATTTGTTGTTACTCTGCCTTCTTATGTACTTACCCTAAAGCCACAAACAATATGTTAGCCTCCAATAGGTACAGTAATAATTACATCCCCCCCCTTAGTGAGGAATGTACAACTACACACTTTGAATACTAACAAAGGAAACCTGCAGTACAGATGAGCCACTTAATCTATTTTCTCCTTGTCAGTTTTGGTGATGAATAATTACAACCTCCTCTCATTATGATGATGCCGCTGCACACATATAGTACACAGCCAACATAATTGCATTTTCAATAATTCATGAGCAGGTTTATGACTGTGTGGCCTCAACAAAATGTTTCCCTTTTGTTGCAGAAATTGGAGGAGTTCTTGTTCTGCATGGAGGAGAATCCCCCAGAGGTTGGTACCGCTAACACTGTCGCTGTATGCTGGAATGTTTTCAGTGTAATTAAAGTGTCAGCTGCAGTGACACTGGGCTTTACTGGGACGCAGAGGGATCCATCAGTTGACCGTAACCCAAACGTGACCTTCGCCGCCTTCCTGACTGTCCGATCAATACTGATCTACATGGGAAGCATGGGTTGGTGTCGCTGACTGTCTGAGTTTGCACAAAGACCTTTATTTATACAGGGGAGGGTTTTTTTGCTGAGCATGTATTCTCCTTTCAGCGCCTCCCTGCTTTAAATTCATACATTTATATTCATTCACACCTGGCAGCCAAATGGGGAAAAAAAAAAAATAGTACCTGTACTTTAGAGAGAGTGTCCCATGCAGGATTTTAAACCAGAGCACACTGATGTGATCTCTTGGTCTGATGACAGATGAGCCTTTAGGGGTCAGGATAAGGTCAAAATATAAGTGCTAAATTGTACTGAGTGGATTCAACAGTGCCAACACACTCTATGTCGGTGTTGTCCACATAAATAAACAACTGAAGAGGATGCTAACTTTTTGCTTCGGACATGCAGCTTTAGCCTCAGTCTCTGACAGCGTTTTAACCCGACTCATGGAGCTCCTGTGACCCTAATTAGCTAGTTGGCTACAAATCAGCTGATGCAATCTGCTTCAGACAATTGTCATTTTTAAGACGCCGAAATCTTTGGACTCCAGCAAGAAATGAAAAGCCTGCTGACCCATTGTTTAAAAAAAAATAAATAAATAAAATACACCAAGAACTTTGATGGTAAATTTGCCACCAGTATTACAAACTAATCACAAAGCTTAGCAACAGTAGCTAAAGTTGGAACGGTCAGTTTATGCTAATGCTACGGTGTATGGGACAGTGACTTGTTTGTGTGAACTATGCATCATTTAATCACAATGAGTTATTGAAAACCAACTGATGTGACGATAGTGTGACCGATCCCTGAGTGAAATGATATGACGGCTGTTAACTGGTGACGGTACCTTTGTCTTGATGGTGTTGCGATAGCGCTGTGGAGGAGCTGGATCCTCCGCCTCGTAGAGGCCCTGACCTCTTTCTCCTTTCCATAATGACTTTAAGTAAATGATTTCCACTTAGCCGCTGCCAAGCTGCGGCCCTGCTGCCACAATGGAGATTGATTAGTGTGTGTGTGCAAGTGTGTCTTTACTCTTGTAATCTCTACAAATTCTTCTTTTATCCTCTCAAGGTCCTTACATCCCCTTCTTCATACCAACCCACAGTCCCAAACAAGTTTAGATACTTCATCAAATTGAAATGTTGACTGCTTTTGATCAGAAATCGGGTAGTTTTCATGATGTCATGAACTTTTACACCAGCCCTGTTTGAAGGGACGATCGCTGTGTCAAAATTCCATACTGCGTATAATTGTTGGCTATCTTCATATACCGGTGTTGCCGTATCTAACAAGTGATGAGTTAAAGTCCATGTGATGTCAATCAAACGGCAGCATGTCAGTGCCGATCAACTTCACAAAAAGGAAGTTTCATATTTTTCCAATAATTGTGAACAATGTGTGTAATTGTGCTTTGTGGGGAGGAAAGTGTGCATCAACAACACACTCTAGAATTAAAGCTTTATCCCATTTCCACTTCACACTTGAGAAGTGACTGAATGAAGTACACTCAAACCTGTCAGTACGCAGACTAGAAAATAGTGGATTTTGGAGTGTGCAGTTAATGGATACTATTGTCCCACAATGAATGCAAAACATGAAAGCAAATTGTGAATGGTTACAAAACTAGTATTAATTAAATGCGTTTGTTTTTGTAAAAGACATTTTGCTTTCTCTTTGAGACGTTTGTTGCACTTTTATTTGTGTCTAAAAGTTGCATATATTGTATAACTTCCTGTTGGTATAAAAAGTTGATTCCTGATTACTTTTATACTAACTACTTAAACATTACAGTAACCCTATACTATAAAGTAGGGCTGCCCCTTCTTTGTCGATGAGTTGACTAATCGGTCGTTTTGTTTTCCGTCTTAGGTCGATTAAGATCTCTGTAGTCAATCGTTCTTTCAGCTTTTTTCACTGACAAGAAACTTATGAGCACGTCGGTTGTAAACACAAGATTTAAGTCGCGCTTTTGTGCGATTTTTTGTGGAGAAACTCAATTTCCCAGATCTGTCGATTAAATCAACCAATCGATTAGTCAACAAAATCACGAGTGTTCGTGTTAGAATTTCTTATTTCGAGGACGGCCCTACTTTAAACTACTACAGTAAGTATCCTAAAAAGTGTTTTCTAGTCTGCATACTTACTTTTTAGAATATCCTTAACTTTGTCCCTTTTCCAGCGCGGAGACACTACATCCTCCAAACCTGCTTTGAATTAGTGTGCAGTACAGAACTGGGACACAGCTACAGGCAGCAACGCCTCCTCATGTCACTGCACTTATTTGTAAATGACCTGGCAGACGGTCTTGGAAACTGATTTGTAAGTGTGGACCCAGTAATTTACCAACGAGGCATCGGTGACAACAAAGACACTAGTTAATCACAAGATAGACAATTTCCCTTTGAGTTTGAAATGAATTCAGCTAATTTATCGTTTTTGTACAAGCAATTGTGACCTTGAGAGTAATACCAGTGGAATATAATTGCTTTGCATCGCCTCTGACATCACCCATGGGAACATGCACAATTACCTGCTGTCTCTCACTCATCATTGCTTAAATAACCGCACCAGCGCATACATACGAGTCGGAAGATTGAATTTCTAAACAATCTGTTCATGCTCCCACAGTCTGCTATGTTTACCTTTGTCGTAATAACATAAGCACTAATGTGCATCAGGAATAAACACGGCAATACATTCTATTAGACAAATTGGCATGTTGTTGAAATCTCATTTCAGATGTTTTCTTGTTTGTTAAAGGCAGATGTAGCAGAGAAAGTCATTTATATCGTGTTGATCACCTCCGGGAGCAAAATAGCATCTTTATAATAGGAGTTTAAAAAGGTCTGTGTGCTAAAGGATATTTTTCCAACGGTGTCATTGTGCAGTGTCTTCTATCCTGTGGTTGTATTGACTTTACCAACGCTGACTGGAGGCTGTAAAAGTGTAGAATCAATCAGCTGCACAAACACGGTGCTCTTATCTGCTAAAGAAGCTCCTAACCTTCACAAACAAACAGCTCAGTCAATCCATAAGTTGACTGTCTCGCTTCTTGGTATAGGAGGACAGAGATCTCAGAGACACTTAATAAAGTGACGCCTGAGGACAGACATGTGTCACCGATTGTTCATTTAAATGCCTCACACACAAAATGCCTCACAAACGATGTTTGTCCTAGTGAGCTGTTCTCCATTTAAGTCATACTGAAGTCCTTAATTGCATCAGGGCTCGTGCCTCGAGCCTTTTGTTGTTGTAAATTTCTTTTTGGGTTGTTATGTCATTCGGAGAAGAAGTGCTATTCCGGGACAGAGACCAGAGACGCGACTCTCCAGTCATTGTTTCGACACCTCTGAGCTGCAGGGAGTTGATATTTTCTACCTGCAGCTACGAGTCAGATTAGACTCTGTATGTGTTGTTTGACGAGAACACCGGGTCCGGCGCGTGCGTGTCTCTACGCTTGATAAGTGTGAAGAAACTAGGACACGATGTCTGCAAAGCGGCCCGTTCTAATTATGGCCAGCTCTGCTCTCCCCCCTGACATTTCCACCAGCATCCTCAGGTGATGTGCAGACACACCGCCCCCGACAGACATTTTGGCAGCCTCGTATCTTTTGTCTGCCCGGCTATCCTCCACTTCAGACTTGTGTCTGGTTGAAACAGCATTGAGAATTTAGTGTCAAACGGATGAAAGGAGTCTTGGAACACTGTGAAAAGCTCCGTGTTAAGCTCTGACTCACAAGAGCACATACGCAATTTAACATTATTAAACTGATGAAAGAGGAAAAACAACTGAATTTACTCATGCCCTTTTAATGCATGTATAACAGCAATCAGTGTAACTGAAGTAGGCCTCCATTCGTTACCTTTAATCAGTCATTTATTCAATTATATATATTCAACTAAAATATTATAACATATGCTCAATTTTCTTGGGTGTGAAAGTGTGGTAGAATCAATCGATCATCTTTTACATTGTTAAACAGAGGTAATTATAAGCACAAGTATGTTATGGTTTTGATCCGGTTCTGAAAAGTGAAGCCAGTGCTGAAGTGCCTTAAACCTGCATTCTTACTAAAGGCCAGCAGGGGGCGCCTCCTGGTTGCAAAAGTAAAACAGGAGTCCACAAACCACAAACCAATGAGGATGTCACGGTGACTACAGTCTATAGTTTTGATTACTTTAATACGAGAAATTCCACGACAACGGATGTGGATTTTTGTTCTGTGTAGTTATTAGGAATAATGAACAATAAGAAACAGAAACAAAGTTTGCATTACAAAAGGGAAGTGTGAAATTTGTATGACGTGCGTGTTTACCAGGCATAGAGGGGCTACTGAAACACTTTCCAGTTGCATCATGGGAAATGTAGGATCCAGTGTTTTTGGAGCTTGATCCACACCAGACAGTTGAAAAGGTTATACACTGTTGCATTGTAGTTCTGGTCCGTTTCCTGTTCATACTGACCTTTTAGACACAAACCAGGGGAGTAAACATGAAGTGTGACTGAGAAGTAACTTGTTGATTGGACAGTTCTGGCGATTGGCATCCTACATCATCAGGACCCATGTGGGGAAATCAAATTCTGGTGACTGACAGAAGTTTATGCAGCACTTTAATGCCTCTGATGTGCATATTTATGTCTCGTGTCACAAAGCACTAACAAAGAAATTATGAGCATTATTAGTATTATTAGACTGCAAATGGGCTGCATGTTCTGAATAATGACCAACAGGTAGAGAAAGAACTGAACAAAAGCACCTTTGTGTGCTCTCAGATGACCGGAGATGACGGAGAGTGCACAGACACAGGCTTCCTAGCCTACTGTGGTATCGCTTTCACACACTTTTTAATGGACCTAATGAACTAACAAAGCACAACAGTTCAAACAGCTTCTGACCTATCAATTATACCCGCACTGACATGCATACGTTATATACGTTATATACGTTACATGGCCAAATGCAGACCAATTATGAGATCACTTAATGAACAGAATTTAGCAGTTTGGCTTTTGATATCACACTGCCATTGCCAAATGACTCCAGACTCAGTATTCTAGTACTAAAACCCCCCGTCTTTGTCTTTTTTTGCTTGCTTGTTGTTATTGTCAGATAGACGTGTGTTTATTCCTTTTCAATATCAGACCCATATATATTTGAACCATTGCAGCTTCAATCGTTGCTTCAATCATCCCTTTCTTTCCCTAACCACCATTTGATTCCTCTTCCTTGCCAGGATGGGTGCAGCGCAGCTGCAGACCTGACGGAGCGCTGCGAGCTGATCAGTGACAGGTTATTGACCTTGGAAGATGAATTGCAGACGGCCATACTGAACCGGGATCAGGCCCTCACCCATATCCTTTCACTGCTCTCTAAATACACATACATCATATAAACTGACTGCATGCTATCTGTGTGTGTGTGTGTGTGTGTGTGTGTGTGTTTCTGTCCATCCATCTTAAGGACCTAGTTTCCTCGAGGACTTCCAACTCTCAAAAGTACACAGCCAAACTAGCTTTAGGCGCCCTGATGTTCTGTGACTTTACCTTTTGAGGAAAGATCAACCTGTCTTATTTGACATTATGGGTCCATTCAGGGAGGGAATTGAAGATAAACTGGGATCAGAGGATCTTTCTCGACAGGCTGGACATGCCAACTGGAAAATGAAATGGTAAAATTCCACGCGAGGTTATTAGAGGGCGCCTGATGTGGGCTGCCAGTCACCACGGGCTGAGATTAAAGTCGGCGAACAGGAGCGGCACCTCGACAGAGAGAGGAATGTCACTGTAATGACTCTGCTCCCGTCATATCTTAACGTCCGTCCTCCTGCTGCTGACCCTCCCTCTCTCTTTCTCTCTCCCCTCCCCTCCTCCTCGCTGGATCTGGCTTGGAGGAAATTGCAATATTCATGATAATGACTCAAATGAAACCGTTGAAGCTGATTACAGGTCACAATACATAATTTTCCGCGCTAATTAGAAAGCTGATTGGAAATAGATTGGTGTGTTTTTCTCGCTCAACTTTTCCCCTCTACACTGTGGGCTTATTAAGACAGATAGAAGAGGTGATATTTTAACACCGAGATGAGGAAAGATTTGCCATCTAACCTGCCGGTTTTTTTTTTTTAATTTTTTTTTAAAATTTTGTGTCACGTCTCATTTCTCTTCTTTCCAAACGGGCTGCCAGAAATACTCTCCTAGTCTGATGAAGATATCTATTTCATTATAGGATCTCTAGAAGCTGTGCGTTACGCAGTGCGTTCTTCACTCTCTGTTGAAGTGTGGCCAGACTTTGTCCACATCTGATTAGAGATTCTCGTCCCCCCGCTGTGCTGTCAGAGGTCAGTACAGGCTCCTCATCTGTTTGCATGATATCAGTGCAGCCCGGCAGTCGGAGGCAGACAGATGAGTCTGCTTCTCTCCACCTCTCTGTTCCCGCGTCCTTACGTGCCATTCATCTCCGTCTTTGGAAGTCAATGCACTCGTGCAAATTCACCGTGGACACTAGAGGACACGGACGATGAGGGACAATATTGTTGTTGGGGTTGCAGAAATGGATCAGAGACCGAATTTTGGGATGATGCTGCTGTTGCCATAGTGACAGGAAGATCAAACCTCCAGTCTCTAAGGGTCTTAATTGAGTCCCTTCTCTCGATACGAGGCGGTGGATGGACAACCACGGAGACTGGAATTTAGAAAACAAAAAGATGACTCGGCAAAACTCTGTCAATGGTTGTAAACGTCTACAACATGATTCTGAACTTCATCATCGTATCTGGACCACGCTGCCTTAAAAGTGTTGTGAACTGTCTACAGTTGTTATGAAAAGCTCTTTAACGGCTGGTTAATTATTAATGAGGACAATCTGTGTCCATTCAGACAGTGAAACGAGAGTTCAGGCCCCATCTGTCATCAGAGCCGTCCCTTTGATTTGCCACTTAAGATGGACACTCGCACGATTAAGTCGGGTTTCTAAGCAGGTTAAACAATCCCCCCCCCCCCCGCCCAACTGATGACAGCCTCTATCCCGTTTCATTGATGGTTTATGAATAATTTAGTTGGGCAGTGAGTTTGCTTGGGCCCCCACACCGTCACCCAGCTCCACAGACCAGATGAGCTCATGAATAGTGAATTGGACGGGGTTAAATAGGGTACGACTTGATGATCTGTCCCAGTAATACGTTCGGTGGCCAAATTGGAGATTGATGACTTCGTCAGGTTGTCGCCGTCCTCTGCCATTACCGTTAACCATCGCCGGCCACAAGTGTCACATTAGCCCCGATACTCGTCTGCTGGCATGCTTTTTTATTTACATGTTAATGTGATTCTCCGTTTGTGTCTGTAGCATCAGATTGTTCCTTAACGCACGCTGCACAGTCGTTGGAAAAGGAGGTTCAGGAAGTAAAAGCCACTTTACAAACCATGCTCGCACAGCTCGAAGAGGAGGAAGAGGAAGTGAATGGGTTACAAGATGACGACCTCATGAAGAACGGAACTGAGGAAGAAGAAGAAGAAGAAGAGGAGGAAGAAGAAGAAGAAGAAGAAGAGGAGGACCAGTACTTTAGTGACAGCTGGGGCATTTGAAATGGATTTGTGTAGGGTTTTATGACCACTCACACACAGACCCGCTCTCTGAGAGGCTGACCTCAGCTTTGCAGTCGGAGTGACCCCTCATCCATTTACTGTAAAGCCTCTGTGGTACCGCAGAGAGCCACAGTACAAAGCCTGGGAGAGTCTGTGTAACATTTCATCCATTTAGAAATGGAAAAACATGAATGATTTGATATAAATGCAAAATATAAGACACTTTAATACATTTTTTTAAGAAGATCCTCAAATCTTAGTTTAACCAGGTAATGAGCGCCTCAGGCCAAAGCAATCATTTTTTAAAATTAGGATGTTTTTGCATTCAGGTTCTCGTCTTACAAGTGATGGGCAATTAGGTAGAATTTGTTTTTTCAGTATTTACTGTTCAAGCATTTTACAATTTAAGGTGATTATTTGGTTTATTGGGGGTGTTTTTCTCAGTAATGTCAGGTACACAGAGATATCTATCCAGAGTTTTTCAATTTAATGACAAAAATGCCTGAAACCAAACTGAAGCAGAAAGAAATCACTAAACCGCTCACCACAACCACCTGTTTGAATTCTGGCAAATGGACAAAGTAAACATGTTTTACTGGTAACAGTCTCGCACACAGGAACTAAAACGTAAGCTTAATCTTTAGGGTCAGCTCGGCACTTTTGTGTGTTTTCTGTACGATTGGACTCCAGTTACGCGTCATTTTGTCCATGAAATAACTCATTTGTGGTGCTACAGAATGTGAGCTAACTTGAACACTTTATTGTTTTGTTTTTTTTGTGTAGAAAAAGGTAATATTTAGAGTTGTTTTCCTCCCAGTCTTAAAGCACTGTATGCTGGGAGAGATGCTCTGCATTTTAAAATACATCCGTCACAAAAGTAAAATTGTGTCGTATTGAAGGATAAAATATCAGTTTGTTTTTCTAAAGTCTTTGTATTGATTGTACTGATTATGTGTATATTTACTTAATGTCAGCACAGAATCCTCATTCCACTGGGTGTCACATGACTTCTTGCCAGAAACATTTTTGTACTTTCACCCATTAATCAGTTTTTTTGTATTTTGTATTTACTGTGCAGCTAAAACTCGCTGTATCATATTTCATATTTATTCCTTACAGCAGCTCACTAATTACAGCATGTACCATTCAGCCTCATGTTGTGTCCCGCTGTTTCCTTCTTGTGTGGAGTTACAGCCCCTCTGCGTATTCTCCCTCGTATAAAATGTGCGGGCATGCAGCCAGGCACGTGAGGGCAGTGGTGACATGTAGGAGACATCAATACGGTAATAAAAGGTCCTCTAGTGAGGTCTTTAGGGGATACATGGGCTTCTATTGTTATCTCGCCTCAGCAGCGATGGTGTGGCTAATTGGGGGGGGGGGCGGCCTCACAGAGGACATGGTGTGGGAAAATGGGATGATGTTGCTTTGTCTCCATCTGATTCTGCCCTGTGTTTTTGGAGCAGGGGCCTGTTCAGGGGATCCTCAGAGGCCTCGTCTGCAGTCCCGCGCTCTCTGGCCCGTAAACACAGCTGAGTGCTCAGGTGTTTGTTTTCCAGCAGCACAATGGGCCTTTTCTCCCTGGCAGGTTGCAAGCCACTTGCCAGGCCAGAAGTCTCCACATCTGTCAGCGTCAGGTGGCGTACAGACAGAGCCCTGACACACACACACACACACACACACACACACACACACACACACACACACCTCCCTGACAAACAGCCTCACCTCATAATTGAATCTGTGCTTGCGCCATACTGCGCCCCGCACGGCAGCTCTGCTCATAAAATGGCCACGAAAAAAAAGAAAGAAAGAAAGACCCCGATGGTTTTCAGCAGGCGGATATAGCAGGGTGAGATGTTTCCTGGTGTAAAGTGAAGGCGCCATGCAGTGCACGGTCCTTTGTCCTGGCAAGGTGGTTGCTATGATATTGCACAGCATTTTCCAAACAATGCGTCCTTGATTACGATTAAAGGAAGACAAAAGCAGGCTGAAATTACCACTGCTGTTAGCAGATTTTATCAGCTGTAGCTAGCTAGATAATTGACCTAACCTCAGCTTAGTTGATTGAAGTTTAGTTGATGTTAATGATTTAAATTACTATTTTAAAAAATGTCATCTCTGGCTAATTTTCCAGCTGTTCCTGGCCGACTTAAAATAACAACCCTCTAAAATGGGTTCTAAAGATGCACGTACATGATCCATTACATGGCATTGTGCTAAAGCTCCACCTTCCCTGCAGCTCCACTTCACTTCACTTCACATGCGGACAAATCCTAAAGATTGACAGACCTGCTGTGCCTAGTTACGGTTGCTAAGCTGCGATTGGACAATCGCTGCTCGGGGGAGCCGGTTGGCACATGGGTTGGATAGTCTCCTGGCAGTTTTCTGTTCATGCAGCGTGCAACTTTTCTACATTTGAGTAAATCAATCAGCATTAACGATACAAAACGTGCCAGTGAGGTGAGATGAATGCCTGTGTCAGATACTAATTGATTCATTTTCAGGAATTGTCATTTGTCACTTTTGGTTTTCATGCACACAAACATGTTGAGTTGAAACAAGAAAAGAGAGATGGATGAAACTAAATAATTTAGCATCTAAAAATGACAAGTGATGCCCCCCCCCCCCTTATCCACATGTTTCTCTGGATTTATGAATAATATTTCTTGACTGAATGAATGATTTTTGGAGTGCGTCTGTATCAGGGGATTTGGGTCCGAGATTTGGATTTGTTTTTTTGATACCCTGCCGAGTTGTTCTGTTGTCTGACAGGTACATGTACAAACTCTCTGAACCAAGGGAGAATCATATCGTGTTGCAGATTGTCCTCTCGCATAGCGTCTCAGACACCACTAATGAATGCAAATTTAGTTTTTTTTTATGTGTTCATGCATTTCACATCCTCAGAGATCCTTGTATGCTCCTCTGCAGCTGACACCTCCGTTATGTGTGTGCGACTGCGTGTCAGTTCTGCTCATTGAGTCGGTGAAGTTAACTCTCCTGAGAGTGGCTTTTTGTGCAGAGCAAAAAAAAAAAAACTGGACATTGAACTCACCGCAGCCAACTCTTTACCGTGGTTTTAGGCGCTCATTCAAAGTTGAATAAATTCAACTGAGCATTTAAATAGGGAGGATATTCCTGTGGAATTAATAAGCATTTGGATTATTTCATTACAAGTCTTCCCAACTCAAAATCTGCATATTTCTCTGCACAAACAAAACAAACGGAGCAGACTGAGCAGAGACTACAGGAAAATAGCCTGCCTTGTTCTTTTTCCTGTGGTCTGAAAATCACACTTAATTATCAACACTGTGCCAGTGGGAGCTGCAGTCTCCTCAGAAACAGACCATCACTTATGGCTCCATTTTAAAATCACACAATTGGAGGAAATGCACTCAGAGTTGGAAGCACATGTGTATTTTTTATCTTCTTTTTTTTTGATATCTAATTCACAACACTTGCCCTTTAAGAAATTACACATGGAAAAAGTGGGGAGTGGAAGGTATGCATGAAACAAGTGCAGAGAGAGATTTACAGATTCTGCAGGAACCTGATCAGAAATATTACTCCTTCACATATTTAATCATTCAGACCGAAGTTGAAATAATTAGCCTGCATGTGGATCTATCTGAGCAGGAAGACCCTGAGGAAAAAAATAACAGGAAGTCACATTAAAATATATATTTAAATCACTGCTGATTCTAGCAGCTGATATCATATATTCTAGAGCGAATGAAAGGGTCTGAGGTACTGTGCACCACTGGGACTGGACTGATGGTGGGAAGTGTATGATGATGATACAGTGCTGAGTAGACGTTCATTGCAGAACAGGACTGTTCAATAGCACTACTGTGATTAGCCCTTACAGCCTTACTCCAACTGCCATTCAAGAACATACTGTACATTACAACATCAGTGATCAAACCAAATCATGTTTCATCTCCCCTTTGCTTGCATCTCTGAATCAAAAATAAAAAAGCTGAATCAAAAATAACTACTGAACAAAGGAGCTCTATAGGTGCAGCTGTTGAGGATTTGATTTGTAGTTCAGCATCTGATTTCACCTGCTGATATCATCACTGCCACGCTAAATGGCCGAGATGCTTTACTTATAGCCAACACATGATTGCATTTACCTTCTTTCATTTAGTTAGTGATATAGAGAGTGCTTATAGAGCTGGTATAATATTTAGGTTACTTATATTGTTGTTTTCTTCCTCACTGCGAGTGCTGTAGTGGAGGTGACTTTGCTCAATACTGCGATACTGAAAAAGAGATTCAGAGGTTCAGAAACGTCGACATTCAACATATGACGTGGTGTGCAGAAACGTACAGTATCCCAAAATAATTCTGGCAACTGTGATGAAAACTGTATTACGTAAAGACAACACGCCTCAAATCAGTACATTTCTCTCAATTTAACTGAGTGAACCTGAAGAAACGTGCTGAAGACATTTTGGATTAAAAAACAAATACTTCTGAATAGTGTCACATACTGCGTATTTAATCCCTGTTAGAAGTATAACAAGTGCTCATGTCAGTCTGCTGGCAATCACTTTAAAAAGCTTAAGCTTCTCTGCCCATCAGAGCAACGAGATCAAAGTCAAGAGGAGCTCTTGTGTGACACACCATCTAATCTCCTTCGAAGGATTTACAGTATCCACGTTTCTTTGCGAGGCGTCACTGTCAAACCTGAAACAACAGTTTTGACAGTGTTTCTGAAAATAAAAAGGGTTTGGTTTGTTTTGAGCGTAGAGACGTTTGTGCTGCCATTCTCATGTGGGATATCAAAAGGAATGGGATACCCCGCTTTTAGCAAGCAGCGAAACCAGCAGCGGAAGGAAGCAACAGAGAATTGATTATTACCCCCGTGTCCAAGCAGGAAAAACATAGTGTTGGTAATTCCTCCAGGGAGAGCTCCTTCATTTAGATCCACGGTGAAGCACTTCCTCCAAGAAGCCCAGACACCGGTTCACCTTGTAACGTCCCCAGGGGACGTGGCTGTCACTGGAAAGCTGAAATATCATGCCGGCTCTGCCATCCTTCCCACTTAGTCTCAAAAACAGGCAGGTACCACACCAGGGGGAGACAGGATCGATAGATCTGATGGATGGAGCTGGCTGCCTTTAGGAGAGGGCTGGGGGGACGGAGGGGAGAGTAATGAAAGCTCCTGTGAGCGATGGGGAGGTTTCTGCCATTGGAGGCTGAGCGCATGGCCCGCTTTCCTTTCACGAGAGCTGCCAGTCCGGCCTAATGAGACTTGGATGGTTTCCTGTCCTGGGGAGGGACGGGTTGATGCGAGATGCTGCTTCTCAGCAGCTGTCAGTCTGTGTAGACCGGCCTGCACACGCAAAAGACGAGGAACGGGAGATACGACATTACCAGCACAGCGTGTGACGTTCACTGTTTTGGGGGCGTGGTTCTGAATCCAGGACTGCTGGTTGTTTTTATTTTCCCCAGCTAGATAAGTGTAGCCACGTGGTGCTCCAGGTGTAAGACAGTCCTGATTAATGCCTAAAGCTGCACTAATCTATGTTTCTATCATAACAACGGATCAAATGACTCGATGTGAAAGGGGTCGCTCGTAGTGATGAACCCACGGAGAGTTTTCACACAAGGGCCGATGCTAATGATGCTGGTTTTATGCTGAAGATGCAAATGACATTAATAGTGTTTTATTCAGGACTCGTTTGTTGTGAAACCCTTCTAGTGTGAAACACTGAGCCCCCGCAGGCTGTAAAAAGGAAGTGGCTTGCTGCTCGATCAAGAACAGCAGCTCTGTTCATCTTGGATTCATGTCACTTGCAATTGATTCTAAATCGGTGTGAAAAAGTTCTTCTTCTTTCACCCTGCAGCACAGTCCACTCCTCCGGTGACATTGCGTACAGTATGCCTGGTGTAGTTCCAGTCCTTGTTTCATGAAAATATGGCTAAATGCAGTGCACTCATGTCACACTATCTCCATCTTCAAACGCCCAACAGGAAGTAGATTTTCTATAGTATCGCTTAAAAAGGTCCAGTGAAGGATTTACTGGCATCTAGCAGGTGAGGTGGCAGATTGCGACCAACTGAAACTTCTCCCGTGCGTCAAGCTTGTAGGAGAACTACAGCGGCCGACGCAAAAGTGCAAATGTCCAAAATCTAGAGCCAGTGTTTGTTTGTTTGTTCTGGGTTACTGCAGAAACATGGCGGTGCAAAATGGCGGACTCCGTGGAAGTGGACCCGATCCGTATGTAGATGTAAACCGCTGATATTCAACCTCAACACCCAAACAAATATCCTCCTTCAGACCCCCCTCTCATTGTCACTGCCTTTCTCTATATACATCGATGGCCTTTCCTCTGTCCTGGTAACGAACGTCCCCTGTGATCGGTTAGTACTGGACCAATACATCATCAGTGAAGGGCCACGTGTGTGATTTTTCTATCTACTTTCAGTAATCCACACATGTCCACAATCCACGTATTCTGCCTTATCATACACTTCCTCTGTGACCTCTGTGACCCGATGTTAATGTTATTTATCTGAGGTTTTTTGACATCATAGATTACTGTGTTGACCCTTGGTTGGCATCTGACTTATACTGCCGGTCCTGTAGAAAGGGGTCACTGACTGGGTCACGCTGATCTCATACTGGAGAATTAAAATATTCATCACTTTTGGTCTGAGTGAAAGTATTACGTTAAATTGTGTCTGTGACGAACAGTCTTCACACAGAATCATGGGTCTCTATTACTGGACGGTGACTCTGTGTGTTCACTCATGCCACACATGTGCATACACACACAATTGAGTAAATTTGACAATAAAACACGCTATTTATAGCAATTTAGCCTTGAGACATGCAACATTGTAAAACATGTGTCAAGAGCAGCTATATGGGCCCTCTTAAACTTTCCCATCCTTTGCAACGCTAACACACAACAAACAGATGATGAAGAGTGGCCCAAGGACATTACTGCCATTTAGAATTTAAAAAAGGAGGCGGGGGGGGAAAGAGAAGAAAGAAATGGAGAGTGACAGAGGAAACAGATAGCGATGCGAGTACTCCTGTAAGGAGGATGTATATCTAAAAGATGCAGGCTGTAACACACATCTGAGAAGAAATGCCTGTTGGAATATGCAGCTCCTCACCAACAACACCACAATCTGAAATGTTTCGCAGTTTCACAGGAATGCGTGCCCCGAGATGTAATATTAATCATTTTTTACAGCTACAAATGTTTGGAATTACAGCTGCCCGCATCGGCTCGACAATCACCCGGCATGAATTATCCAAATGAAATGGAAGTGGTAAACCTAGATAAGCAGACTCACTCCTACAGGAGACAAGGCATGTTTAAATGGAAGCATCAATATTCATCACAGAGCTCGGATTAAAAGCTGCATATTGAGGGGGGGGGGGCATCTCTGTGTGTTTGCTGAGGGATTGTTCTGGACAGTGGATTTCTTAAACTAACTTAATATATTTTTCATGTTTGGAGATCACTGACCTGCAGGCTGAGTGTATTTAAAGAACAGCCTTGTTTTAATGCCCTGCTCTGATTTGACCTCAGGCAGAAACTTTGATTGACAAGAACAAGAAGACAATCTCAAGTGATGCATTTAGGATACAAGACGAACGTGTAAATCTCAATTCGTGTTAAAATCAATATAGTACCTCAAACTAAAACAAACACCTTGACTTTTTGTCCTGCAGTGGTTCCTCTTCATACGTTAGTTTGCTCCAATGACTTTCACAACTGTATAAATAGCTACAGGGGCACCGGAACGCTGACTGTTACAATGTTTTGTTAAATAACTGACAGGTGGAAGCCTCCTCAGTCACCAGAGGAGTCAGAAACGTGCTACTTTATACCAATTTGATTAGAGTGGTGCTTAACATTTATAGATCAAGTCCAATACATACATTCCAACCCGTGTCAAACACCCAAATGCATATATTAAATCATCTTAATCTCAATTAACCTCATGGCCACATACAGTATATTGTGTGTTGTAAGCTGGTCGCATGTCACACTAATAATCCATGTATTTATGGGTATTTTCGTGTATCGCCAGAGCCTATCTACATATCTTTTAATCTAGGCATACTCAAAAGAAAACGCAATCGAGTATAATAACGTTCAATGTTTAACAGAATTCAAATCTCTAACCATGTTATGAAGGTAGTTACATTTGTTCTTCTGCACATGATTATTCATTTCATGCTTTCAGCTTAATATGAGGAAATTACCCGCACAAAACGTCACTTGGTTTTTAGTGTATCGTAGTTAGAATTAAATGGGCCTTTAATGACACAGTCATTAAGTTGCAAGTGGGAGCTCAGTGTGGATCTCAACACATAACCAGTAAGCTGCTTAGCATTATAGAATACATATCGCAGACTGTGTGTATGTCCATATACTGTTAGATGTGTGTAGATGTATTTTTAAACCCAGCTAGGGACATGGTTACAAATTTAGTCCTGAAGTATCTCATCAACAGATTAGCGTGAAATCACGAAACCATGTGGTTATAATATAAATGTGTCCAATACTTTGCTTTAGGACCAAATACCTGCAATACTAATGACATTCCCATCAGCATCAGCTGTGCTGCAGATTGGCAAATGTTAGCATGCTAACCCGGATAAAGCATGATGAACTTGATAAACATCGGCATGTTAGCGTTGCCCTCTCTGTGGGCATGTTGGCGTACCAGAGCCAGAGCCACAGTACAGCTGTAGTCGCCGTGATTCAAGTACTGATCCTCTAAAATGTTTGCTACAAAATAAAAGCTAAGTTCTGTCTTAAAACAGCGAAAGACAAGACCAGAAAACAGTACATGAACAAAACTAAAACTGTTAAACCTTTGAGGAACTCGTCATGGCAGAAAACAATCTCTTTGAAGTCACCTCAGTGTGACCCCCCCCTCCAAAAACCTGCACCAGCATGGAGAAATACAAACTGCATTTGGTCCTCGTACCTTACCGACCTTGTCCAGTCTGGAACATCACACAACATTAGGAATTTTCAAGGGCACAACCAGCAAACATCTAGTGGCACTAGGAGTTGAGGTCTTTGAGGTTTATTAATATACAGCTGGCAGATTAATAATATGCAGAGGGACCGAGGAGGGAGCTGCCACATCCTGCTCTGCAGTTGGTCCACTGTGGAGCTATGAGGTTGCTTTGTTGCGTCTCCCCTGGGGGGTTTCCAAAAGCAGCCATTCCTCCCGCAGCGGAGGAAGAGAACTTGAGGAGCCCTTTGTAAACACTCTGGGGAATCCGTCTCTGCGTGACCCCCGAGGTCACGGACACAGGGTGAACGTCTGCCACTGAGCTCTACCTCCGTCTTTAAATAGGGCATCACAGATTTTTGCCCCATTTCTGTTCTCTTTGTACATTTTCTGCAAGTATATCTTCCACTGGGCTTCATTTAGAGGGAAAGGCATTTTTTAATCGAAAGAGACTAAAAACTAACACACACACACACACACACACACACACACCATTATTCAGGCAGAATCTAATTAATTTAGCATCCAATTTAAGTTGCATCTGATTTGCGAATTATCTGCAAAGGGAAAAATGGTCAAACAGCAGCTTCTGCGTTGTTTCTTCTCTCGTTTATTCTCACAGCGTATGTATAAAATGTCCTGTATAGAAATCAATTGAGCCCTCCAGCATTAATGAACTGTCGGCCCCGGTGAACATCCTGTTATTGTTGCTGAGGGAAATACAGGAAAAGAGCATGAACAGTCGCCCTGGGAGTCTTAGCCATGCCAACTTCTCTTTGTTTTTGTTGCCATGGCGCTGGCTCATCCATTCCTCACATTTCTGCCTGGCATTTCAGTCCAGATAGTGTTACTATTACTCACACTCTGTAAGACACCCCCCCCCCCCCCCTCCCTCCCTCCCTCTCTTTGTGTCCCTGTGCAGTCTCCAGCACACCGGAGTGCCCCATCAGCACCGCCGTGCCATCTGCAGGCACAAGACTCGGAGCAAACCCGCTGGGTTTATCTGTCATGGAGCAGACTGCGGCAGGTGAGGTGGCCAGCTGAAAAATAACCTTGTGGCTGGTTGCACTGAGGAGCCAGAAAAAAAAAAAAAACGGAAGCCCCGTGAGTAATGAGAATGAATTGGGGGGGGGGAGAAAAAAAAAAAGTGCATCGTTCTTCTTCTCTTTGATGAGTGCTCTCCTTTCAGCGGCCTGCTGCTCCTGCGTGCGTGTTATGTTTTTGACAAAACAATCGAGGAAGCTATAATAGCTCATTGTGTGACGGCTCCCCGTCTGGGTCAACAACACGACTCTGTGATTTGTGATATTGATGCCGCACGATACAGTGAAACGGCACGTCTTCATTCTCTCTCTACTCGTGCATCAATGCACTAAAACGGCCGTAATGAGGACATTACATTTGGGGTTTGGCAGCACCTGTAAGGTTAAAAATGTGATGAGAAAACGGTTTGCTGCTAAAAAAGGTGTCCCGTTACCGCCGTCCACGACTGCGGCAGCTCTGCCGAAAATAGTCTCGTCGTCTCCTTCCATCCATCAGCGATGTGGTTGACTGCCTCGCTATAAGCAATTACCGCTCCAATTGAGCTTAATGACACCGAGAGGGAGGCAGATCTGCAGCTCGGGGGAAGCAGCCATGTGCTATTTATAAATCTTTTGAAAAGACACCTGACGCTGCTCCATCAAAGCTGTGGGGCTCCAGCGAGAGTACCTTCATCCTGTTTGCCTGCCAGTGATTGGCTCAGGTGTTTCTCCACCACACCACGGCCTGTGTCTGTAGCTGGCAGACCTGAGCGTGCATGGAGTCAGCCAACATTGTTTTTTTTATGTGCAGCATCCCTCTGAAAATCATTTCTGAGTCATACAGCTGAAACACCTCAAGAGACGGGCATTCACCTTCCGCTCCCCTGAACTTTATCGGGTTCTTTCCCGCAGAATCCCGGCGCAAACCCGAAGGTGAGGTCGTCCAACGCAGAGTCCTGCTTGACTTGCATTTGGCTAATTATTCTCCTGTTAAGGATACCCCCTGCTTCGGGACGTGTCATCCATCTTTGTCCGTCACAGCTCTCTCCGGCATTGGCGGCACATGACAGCTTCAGCGCGAGTATCCACGGACTGATTGATATCTCCATTTGCGCTCCCACTCGGGGATAATGGAAATGAATGACAGCACATGCAGAGCGTCTCCCAGCCTCTACATGCTACATTAGCTACTGCCAGCGGAGGTTTTTTGGCCAGAAGCACAACCCCACTTCCTCTCCGTGCACGTTTTTTGGCAGCTACATTACCTTTTACGTGACCATACTTTTTAGGGATACACTTCGTGGCAGGTGTTGTGATGAATCAGCCAGCCGGGGTCTAAACAATGTGCTTATTGTGTTCTGTGTGAGTCCTTGTCATCCCACTCCTATTCTTTCATGACATTGGACTACATTCAGTAATGAAGAAACTGTGGGACTGAGAGCAGCTGATTCAACGGTGTTGAAATCAGCTGGAGGAGAGCTAGTAACGTTAGCGGTGCCAACAGCTTTCATTCAGCTACTTCATGATGCGTCCAGTAAAAATGAGTACTGGGTGAAGGTAAATCATAGCGTTCATATGATGTGTTCAATGTAATCTTGTAAAATGTAGATTTTGGCAAGAAACTAGAATAAATACAGTTGTTTGAGGGAGATGTTTCCACAGCAATATGAAATAGATTAACTTCCTAACACTAGCTCTAAGCAGCTTATTATAAATCGTTAAAACTAGATATGAATAGATGACTGTAACAAAAAGGATAACATTTTGAATTGTTGACGGTTTACACTGACTTCAGAGCAGTTGAATGATTTTTTTCGGGATGGTGGTGAAAAGAATAAACTGCTTGAACAAAACAATAACAAAAACTATCAGTATTGGGAATTATGGCTAATCGATGATCGGTAAATGGTATTTTGAGAAAAAGTGAACGGGG